ACTATCTAGACTTGAAGAACATGGTAAACCATACCATTTAAACTCAACTTTCCACAGGAAACGCACGACAAACCCAGAACTCGTAGGTCATCCTAAGCACAAACTGCTCTGATACCATAAATGTAACATCCCTTTTTAGTAGTATAAAACTACTAAAATAAAACATTACATAGATGATAACTTACCAAGAATTTCAAACTTCCAATGAAGGAGAGCTTACACTTTGGAGAAAAAAAACTCTATTTATGATTGATGTCAATCTCTCAATCTCACATGGAAAAGATTGAAAAGACATCCTCCCTAAGCTCACACCATTAAGGTGATCATTGCAAAAGAGAAAACATACACAAAGACAAAAAACACAAAAGCAAGGGTAAGCTAGTGTACAAATAAAGTCTCAGATAATAATTTAGTTTAACAATTAACAACATTCAAGAACAAGCAATTCATACAACCACAAGACCACAATACTCACTTATCCGAATATAATGTCGATGAAGACTACTGCAAGCATGCACTCATGGTAGTATTTATACTCGGCAGAGTTATAAACAAGGGTAACTCGACCTACTCACCATGAGGTAAATCTTCTACTCCTAAAACCCAGAGGGCTTGGGTGAAGACCTCCTGCCATTCTCTTCGCCACCCCGTTCAACTCTACATGCGTTAAATGGTTGGTAGAATATCAGGGTACCTGGGTACCACAGTCTCTTTATCAAGCATTCTCTTACAACTTGCTAGAAAATAGAATCTCTCCTTGAGATTCTTTTCCTAACACATTTTTCTCATTCTCATATTACATTCCACACCACTTTCATTCTCATATAAACCATATATTTATATATACATTGCATACAAACATATATACCATTGATTTTACTTCAAAGGAACATAAACAACCCCAATAAGTCATCAAAAATCACGTGAAATCATTCCATATACATTATTACACAAGAACAATCCAAAAAGAACCACTAAACAATACAAAATCCATTTAAACTCATACTTAGACAAGGAAAACAACTTTGAAACCCTCACCAACAACTTCGGAAGGGTCTAAAACCCCCAAAACGAACTAAAGAATGTCCAAAACTAATACCCAAAACCTCAAATTTGGTATTTTCAAAACCTGAAAAAGAAACCAATACTGTTGCGATAGCGCCCAGTGCCGAGAATCTACCGCTCAGCACTAGAGCCACTGGAATGGTGGCGCTCAGCGCCAGAAAGCTGGTGCTTAGTGCTGGTGCCCCTAGAATGGTGGCGTGCAACGTTAAAAATTGTCCCTCAATGCCATATAAGTTGACAGCACATTGTTTTCAAGGACTTTGATGCACTTAAGACTTGTTCTAATGATCAAAAGGGTTTCTTACACACCAGAATTGATATGAAAACATGTTCATAACTAAAACAAGGTTCCTCTTTGATCATTGGATGCAAACTAGGTGCATTAAACCCATATGACAACTCCAAAAGTACCCAAAACAAATCTACACTTTCTAACCCAAAACTCTACAAACTAAAGGTATGAACAAGTCTTAAATAACTCAACAACAGGCCTTAAACTCTCCAATTCAACCCAGACCCGTTCCCTTAGAAATTCACTACCCAAAGCCCCCTTATTTAGACTAAAACCAAGAAAAAACACCCTCACAAGTCCTAAATGACTCTAACATAATCGCAAAACTTCTGTTTTACTCAACCCACTCTTTACTCACAAACTCAGCTATCAAAACCCCTTAATTTCACTCCAAACAAATAGTAATTACACTCAAATTCTTCCTCTCAACTAAACATCATAAGTTTCCTCATCTAAGTATATTAAATAATCACAATTAACCCATAACACTTACCAAACTATAATTTCCACATTCTACTCATTATTTCAAGAATCGACATACCAACACTCATCACTTTAAGACCAAATTAGTACTTCAATCTCATATTTTCACAACCATCATTATTCATATATTTGTTGCATCAACAACATATTCATTTCATCATACAATAAATCACACAACAATTCATACATTCAAAAATTTTAACCATTCATCATAACGCACACTAATCAATATTTACTCAATTTAGAACATTTATACTATCATATAACCCTATAACTCATCAATAGCATATTTCAAACCTTCTATTACATATAAAAAAAACAAATTAGCTTCCCTTACCTTGCAATAAACTGTCCAACTCAAAGAAATGTTTCGTCGATTACTTGAAACGCAAGGAATCTCTAGACGAACCTACGAGACACCAAATTGGAAATGGACAGAGTCCTTAGAACCCTAGGTGAACCAATAATGACTAGAAGAAGCATGATTACACACGCAACAGTACTAGATTATTCTAAAACAGATTTGGGAACAAAATAAGAAAAATTATTCGAAACTTACTTGCTCTATTCTTGAAATTGATCGGCTAAATTTGTAAACATTGACGCCATGATCAGAAAGACATCTCCTGATCATCAAACAGATAACTTATGATCAATAACACTTAGAGAAAAGGTAGAGAACTCTGGAAAAGTGATTTCTAAAGAGATGGTACGTTTTAAAATAATGAAACTCATTTATAATAATACATTTTATTATATTAAAATCTTTTAATATTAAAATAATAGAGTCTCATTATTTTTAACTCACTACCACTTCTAAAATACCATTTTCTAGGTCTTCACAAAATTTAATCAATTTTTCAATAATTTGTCTGGTTACAGAATTAATTTTACCATAATTAAAAAATTTCTATCCATAATCACTATTATCATAAAAACAAAATATTTATCAATTATGAATTGCTCAATAATTAGACTTACACGAGTATTTTAAAAAAATTAATATAAATATAATATATCAATCCTGACATCATACTCATAGGTGGATAGTCATGACTAACTTTCAACTTAATACTATTTTCAGATCATTTAAAAAAATTAAAAAGCCTTAACTATTAAAATTAAGTTTAATACATTTTTTTTGTCTTAATATTTGAGAATTATTCGATGTGAAATTTCAATTTTAAAAGAAATTAATGTATTTCTTTTCTAAATTGTTGTTGACACCATTTTGAAAGTGTCAAAAAGTCAGTAATTATAGGTTGCTTCAACTTTTTACTTTTTTTTTATTCACCAGACCTCTATGTCTCTTTATGGAGATAATGAAAACAAATGTGGTAAATGGAAACGGAGAGAGTAAAAGGTTAAAAAAAATAGACTAAAATCATTTACATGTGATAAGATAAAAAAACATTAACTCAGAAATAAAATGAAGACTAAATTAAAGATAAAAAAATTTAAAATCACATTAAATAAACCTTTCATATATATATATATATATATATAGATCATATATATATATATATCTAGATATATATATATATATATAATATATATATATATAAGTATTATTCAACCTTTTAATAGAACATTTCGAGACAAACCTAAACCTACTGCATATTTATAAACATTTGCCATGTATATAAAGACAACTTTATGTATCTATAATATACACAGAGTAAACATTCAACCAATGTTGAAGTAGAAGAAAAGCCCTTCCGCTGAGTTAGCCTTAAAAGTTAAAGTCAATGCGTCTCGTCTCGTTAATTTGTAATGATGAATGCATTCCTACAGGAGGACCTTCGTGTTCGAAATATTCAACGATTAGTCATATTCCATTATTTCCATCTACACTTGTTTTGTTAATTTCAATTGCAATCTTAATTGTCGCCAGAAAGCGACATCTTACACACTTGTTGAAATGATGTGAATGGTTTAAAGATTTAAGAAGGAAAAAGAAACGTTTGAATGATAATAAACGATTACTTTTGAGCAGAACGATATAAATAATTAAGTGCAGGAAACACAGCACAGAGAGATATGTGATGGATGCAGAAACGCAATCTGAGAGCAGTGATGTAACGTGACGAGAAGGTTATTAAAGAACAAAATAAAGATTTGGTTGGAAGGATATGTGTAGAGAAAAATGGGAGTTGTGTAAAATGAAAAGTTTGACTGAAAAATAAGGATGTGAATGTAGTGTATCTGGAAAGATGGATGGTGTGAGGATGGTAATAAATGCTACAGTCCCCACAGCAGAATTGACATGAAGATGGCAGAAAGGGTAAAAATGATCACATGCTGGAGGGGTTATGGCATATGAAGGTTTGATAGGGTGGCATGCTTGTTGTGGCCTAAATCAGCAAACTATCAAAACCTGGAGCCCTCAAAATTAAAAGTGGACGTCTACTACATGGACCCACCACACCACTCATCATTACCCTTCTCCCAACAAACTCCACTCCACCACTTTTACCACCATTCACAACCTTTCAAATTTTACTTCACTTTTCAATTAGATTGATTAGCTTCATCATCACAAATAATATAGTTAATCAGTTCCCTTTTGAGGTATTAGAGAAAGAAGAGATTTGAAGTGAATAATGAAGGATTAAGGTAATTAATGATGTTGAGATATTATTATTAGCTTAGAAGAGAGGAAAGAGAGGCGGGGGAAAGACATGCCATGAAATGTGAAACATAATGCCACATGCCTTGTCTTGAGCATCCATTCTTTGTACTTCTTTTTCCTGACTCATAAAAGTTGAAAGCAACCAACAGGCTGTCCTTATTATCCATCTTCCTTTCTTTCTCTCTCAACCTACTACACTCACTGGAGGAGCTGAGGAAGCCCCTATATTTGGAAAAAATAAATATTAAAATATTTGGTTCAACTTCTAAGACGGAGCATATCATCCAGACCTTTTTGCCTCTCTCTCTCCTCCTTCTTCAGTATCAACTTTCAATACATTATCCACTCCACTGTGTGCACAAATCCATGACTTCACATCCTTTAACTCTCTAACAGGTATGGTTTTTGGGATTCCCTCTCACCTAACTCACAAAAACCTCTCCCTCTTTCATCCATAAGATAATCAAAATAACCTTTTTTTTATTCACTCTATTGCTGCTCTTGTCTGCAACTGCAAGTACTCTCTCCCTTCCTTCTTTCAATCACTGTTTATTTATTATTTATATTTATTTCCTTTCTACTTTTATCTTTCTAGTTGCTTCACTGTGCCTTCTTTGGTAACCTTCTCAGTTTATGCTTCCATTTTCCTTGGAACTCTTCCTACTACTTCATTAACTCTAGGCGGTCATGTCTTTATTTACTTATTTAATTCTTCTTAAAATTTAACCCCTTCTTTCTTCCTAGTACGGACAAAAACTTGTCCAATGTGTTTGTCTTATAATTGCCTGTTTGTGTCTGTCTAGTTTTTCTTGATTTCCTCCTCCCCCTCTATCATCATCATCTATCACTTTCCATTCTTCTTCAATTGGACTTTTACCCATGCCCTTTTCACTTGGCTTCTTAATTTAAGTTTGCCTCTCCTTACTGTCTCACTATTTATGCAATACAACCTCATGCCTTTCTCACTGCATAATTTTCTGTTGCTCCTCATGCAATTCTGAACCTATGGTACATAGCACATATACAAGGTAACCATACAAAGGGGGACTTTGGAGAAGTACAAGGGTGGGGAGGGAGGGGGGTTAGAGTTTTATTTTTCTCTATTATTTTGTTATGGACTGGAATTTGAAAGCACCTTCTTGGGATTTGGTGGATGTGGATAAGGCTTCCATACCCAACATAGACTCAATGGAGGAGCATAACAGATTTGGAGTTTATAGAATGGAGGGGGAGTTTTCTGTGGACTTGAAGCTTGGTCATGTGGGGAATTCTGGCACTGAATCAGCATTATCCAAGTTCAAAGATGTTGCTGCTGGTGCTGGAGTCTCCAAAGTGGCTTCCTCACCTTCAGGGTCTTCTAAGAGAGCTAGAGCCATTAACAGCACAACCCTGACTGTGTCATGCCTTGTGGACGGGTGCAATTCTGATCTTAGCAATTGTAGAGATTATCATAGGCGACACAAGGTGTGTGAGCTCCATTCCAAGTCCCCAGAGGTCACAATCGGTGGCCTCAAGCAAAGGTTCTGCCAACAATGTAGCAGGTTTGTATCATATCATACCATATATACTTAAGCTTTTGTTCTTTTGCTTGCAATTGAGTTCTAGATTGCTTGTAAGCTGTGGTTTGTCCTCTTAATTATTGCTTTTTTGTGTTTTTGCCCCCCTTTTCTTTTCATTGTACCTCATCCACATTTAATTTGTGTCGTTTGCATTGCATCCGTATCCATTATTCATGTTAGCTTCACAAGTACTCATACGCCACCAAATTACTTTATTTTGCTTTCCCCTACCATTAGCATCTTCACTTAGCGTTCTTTAGAAGAAGCAGGTTTTTATACTCTTAGTATTTACTTCCTCACCATTCATTTTCTAAAGATAGAAAATTTTCTTTCTTTTTACTTTTAAAATAATTTAAAACCATATTAAATCTAGGAAAGAGAATGTACTGCGAGAGTATTAGAAAAAGATTCGCTCCATACTGATTTCTTAAACCAAATACTAGTTCTTAACCCTGGTGTTTGTCGTTATATGTTTATACTCTTTTTGTGTGGCACTTTTCAAAAACCAAATACCTCTGCTATATACATGGAGAATTAAGCTGAAAATATACCGGTGCACGGAACACAATTAATCACACAAGTTTACACATAATATGAGAGAATGACTTGCCTGATTTGTTCTGTTAATATACCCTGTGTATGGGTATGTTGCTTGTAGTAGTTGTGGTAAATCCGTGGTAAATATTTTTCACCGCTTAGTTTGTTGTCCATTTGATTTTATGTTCTTGATTCCATTTCCATGTCATATGGGCGTGTCTCAGTTTGCTGAAATTCTGAAACTTGTCTTTTTTTGGAAGGTTCCATTCGCTGGAGCAATTTGATGAGAGAAAAAGAAGCTGCAGAAAGCGTTTAGATGGACACAACAGACGGAGAAGAAAGCCTCAGCCAGAACCTCACACCCGACCTGGTAGTTTTTTATCGAATTACCAAGGTAAGCTTTGTGGTTGTAGTTGTTGTTCTAATACCACATTATCTGAATGGACCCATGTGCATATATGCGTGGATTTCATGCAGGTATTAGCTAGAGATACACATCCACATAGGTACACGAGTCTCAAAAGAGTAAGAAGTTTCATGTGGAAACAATGCACTTAGCTAAATGAGTGCGCTGCCCACATACCTGATATGGCTGATTTGGTCCATTTATGTCCACGCTCATGACAATCTAGTGGCCACTAGTTAAATATGTCACTACATACACACCATAAAAAAGGAAAAACATTTTCAGTAAACTCCCATGTGCTTCAGAGTCTATGCATCAATCATTCTGATCTTTGACTCCATATAACTCTTATTTTTCTTCTTGGTTTTATGAAAAATTACCCATTTTTATTCGTTTCTCTATCATTTTACTTCATAGGGGACTGAAATGACGTTTTGCAAGTCAAAACTTTATACAATAATACTTTATGCTTACCATTTTAAGAGCCTGTATTGGACTTTGTTTGGAAGTTGCTTCTTTCGAGAGATTGATCTAAACTGTCATCCACAAGAAATTATCGCTGAAACCATAAGACCATATCTCTGATGCTTATCTTGTGTCTTGCTTTGCAAAATTTGTGGTAGGTACAGGATTATACAAGAAAATAATTTGTCCTGGATAAAACTACAGTTGAAAAACCTTTTGTTTACCTTCTTCCTAATTTCGAATACCATACAAATTCTTACTCATGTACATCATACCAAACTTTAGATTACTGATAAATGTGGTTAACGAAGAAATATAATAATATATTATGATCGAGCATCTACATTTTTGTTGACATAGTACTTACTTTGTTGAGATAAAGTATAAGAGTTGTGAAATTCAAGATTTTTCAGGTACTCAGTTGCTACCATTCTCAAATCCACACGTGTATCCTTCCACTGCCATGATGAGCACCCCTTGGAGTGGAGGGCTTGTGACTTCCTCTGCAGATGCGAGGTTGCACAACCAGCACCACCATCAAGAGCTTTTTCTAGGATCTTCTCACAAAGAAGGGAAGCAAGTGGCATTCCTACACGGTAACCATAGCAACCAAAGCCTTCCCTTTCCGTCTCCTTCTGTGTGCCACACGCTTCTCAGGAGCAGCCCTTTATCAGAAAGTTGTGGAGCGAGAAGCAAAATGTTCTGTGAAAGCTTAACGACAACAAATTCGGTGCATGACACTCCTTGTGCTCTCTCTCTTCTGTCATCATCACAGACGCACACACCTGGGAATGGTTTGAATCAAATGGTGCAGGCACCGTCGATGTCCCTGATGCAGCCCTTAGGCCTGAGTCTGCAGGATAACACCAACTTAGAGTCTGTGGAGCGAGTTTTGGTTCCCAATGGCAGTGACCACTGTTCCTCCATGTATAGCTTGGGTTCTGATGGATCCCACTGCAATGAAGCCCCTCAACTGTTTCCCTTTCAATGGGAATAGAGCTTTTCATCGTAAGCCAATCATTCATAATCACACTTTGTCTTTCATTCCTATTATGAATTCTGATTTTCATCCTAAGCCAATCATTCCTCATCATTCCTTAAACCAAGCCACTGCTTATGAACAATCCTGCTATTTTTATCTGTATCTTCACGGAAACAAAAACTAAACAATTTTACATGCCATTCGCTACACTAACTTAACTGTATAACCAAAATTTACATGTATACCTTTAAACGGAATAATGTCACATGTACTTTCGTTTTCCAACATATTTAAATATATATATGATAAATCTTAATTAAACTTTTATTTTTGGTGATTCTTTCATATCATCTCAAAAAATATTTATTTTCTAAGATTAATACTTTTCTTATCTTTATTGGGTTTTTCTTTCTCGCTAATTTATTTTTATCTAGAATACGTGAATCGTTGATTAGTTTTTAGTTCCATTTTTTTTATTCTAAAATATTAGAGTTAGGAATGATAAAACAAATTGCATCTTCTTACTTATAAAATTACCTAGTTGTCTTTATATAAAGGTAATTAAATTATTTTTTAATTAGAAATTTATATTCGTAAAATGTTTTCAGTGAATTTGCTTTTCCTTTTATACTTTACAAAATTAAAGGAAGTCGGGACGTCGTCGAAGAGCAATGCCAATTCAAAATCTTTTAATTTTACTTTACTTGATATAATTTGTTTTTTTTACTTATTTAAATTTATGTTATGAGACTTACGTTTTAAATAAACTAATCTTTACAAATCTTATGTTTTATTTTCTTGGTAATTAAAATAAAGTAATGTTTTTCTAAATATTCACTTGTATACGTGGACTTTATGTAAATTTGCAAGTAATTATCAAAGTATTTACTCATAAATTCACATAACATATATGTTTGGAATGTTTTTATATTTAATATATTTTAAAATATTAGAATTAAGGTACATCAATTTATTTTCAAAGTACAACAAAAATATAATACCAAAAATCAAAAGAATCTAAATTTGCAATTACTATCCCAATTTATAAATTAAGAATTTGTTGATTTTAATAGTTAAATTTAAGGATATCTAAACCAACTCCAGTGGACATTCGATTTCTAATGAAGTCCAACTACCTAGGATTCAGGTTTTGAGTCTTAAATTTTAAATTCGAATTTCATTCTCATTCAATTCATCATCTACTTGATTGAGGATTTATTCTTCTTTGGTACACCTTAAAGAAAGACAAACAATGAATTGCATGAGGTATTGTTTAATGTATTTTTATTTTCATTTGAAATTTAGGTTTAACAGTAATTTTTAGTTCTATTCTTTTATCAATGGGTCAATATTTTTTCTCCATTTAGTTTTTTATTCAATGTAAATTTTATATTTTTAAAAAGATTCAATGTATTTAATAAATTATTCAATCCTAAAAACAAAAATGAAAACGTGGCTAACGAAAGTGATCACATTTAGTTTTTATTTTTATTTTTACTTTTGAAAAATATAAGGGTTACATAAGACCAAAAAACTATTAAACCTTAAAATTGAAATAAATGATACAAAAATTACTTTTAATTGAATACCAATAAATTAGGTAGGTTTTAAAAAGTCGCTAAATTATGAATTCTACATGAATTTCAATTTTATTATTATCAAAAATCATAAACAAAAAGCATATTTGATAGAAGAAAGTGATATACGCTATTGATTAATGATAAATAATTATTAATATGATTTTTAAGTAATTATATAAATTAAATAAATTTATTATACGTAGTAACATTAAATCGTAGTGAAAATATTTTTACATTATAGTTACATAACCTATTTTCATTATTGAACTCTAAGTTTGTCCAACTAAAATATTTTAAGATCAATCAACTTTTTAAACTTATCAATGAGAATCAGCTAAATTAATTTAAATATGGAAAACAGTATACAGCTCGTTCCAATTTATTCACTGAACTTTATATTTTTTATAATTAAAAGCATCAATACTATGACGAGTGAAATATGTTTTACTAGTATACAGTCAGAAATTACTATTGAAACACGTGTGCACATTCTTTTATATGATAATAAAAGTAATAAATTTATTATTATTATTATTATAAATATAATATTGATATATTTTTTGTTTATTTTGAAGGTAGTTTTATGATAAAAAAAATATTAAGTTTAAAAAAATAGTTAAATTTAAAGAAACAATTATTTAAAAAATAGAATTGATAAAATAATTATTTTAATCTAAAAATTATGAGTCTTGAAAATAGTGTCCGATACGTTGTAACTTGTTTTAAATAATGAGATTAAATTATTTTAATATTTAAAAATTTAAAGTATAAATAAAAATTTTATAAACGAGTTTCATTATCTGAAGTCACATCATCTCTCTAAGTTTCCTTTCTCTAAATCTCTCTATTCACTTTCTAAGAATTCTGATTCCATGTTCATATGTTAGAGAATGCTTTATTAATCCTTGAGGCGAGGTGTTCGACTCTACTCGCCTCTAGCCGATCAGTTTCTACAAGAGATTAAGTTAGTTTCAACTCTTTTATTCGGTTTGCAAGCTTTTCTATGCATGTGAGCGATCATAGTTTGCATGTGAGGTTTAAGTCTTCTATAAGACTCTTTACTGATCAGTGGTTCTTAACGGTCTATCTTGATCATGTTTCTATTATTCGTAGTAGTAAATAGAGTCTATTATGAGTGGAGTTATCTTAGGACCCCTTGAGTTTTTTGTCATATGTAAGGTAAGAGAAGTTAGATATTTTAGTGTGCATGAGTTGGATATTGTTTGTTGAATTTGGTACGTTGAACATGATTGTTGTTTTGGTGCTAAATTGTATGGTGTGTGATAACGTTGTCGTTGACGCGATCAAATTAATACTACTAAACTATAACAACTTCAATATTGATAAGATAGTAGCCAACAAAATAGAAAGGGTAAATTCAATCCTCAGTCATCTCCCAACGAACACGGAATTGATTTCTAACAAATTAGTTCTTATAAAAACTATACAAAAGGGGTTAGTCAAATAAAATAATAAAAGCAATTAAAAGAAAATAAAAGATTACACTAAAAAATAGCAAAAGATAGAAAGAAAATTATAAAAAGATTTAAAAAGATAAAAACAATGATAAAGAAAATAAGTTGATTTCACTGTCTTTTCAAAATAGGATTCATCATTGGTTATCTAAATATTATTGTTCAATTAATTATTATCTTAAATTTTCAAATTAATCAATGTAATTCCCAATTAATTTGTTGGCGTTCTCACCCTTAACCACAGTACATTCTCAATTAAGAGCAAGAACTTTGCAGATTAATCATAGTAAATTTAACCAAAGTACATTCTCAATTAAATATTACTATGCCTAATCATATATATTCTTTTACCTCTTATATCAAGTAAAAAACTAATTAATCAAAGTACATTATTGATTAATTCTTGCTAAAGTTTTTACCATTAATCAAAGTACATTCTCAATTATTGGCAAACACCATTCAATCATATGAAAGTTTCTAACTTTAATTACAATAGATTCTCAATTAAAATTAAAACCCTTGGACTCATATGATTGATATGTTATGTAGATTTGACATAATGCTAAATTGCTATAATGTAAAAATCATTACTTTTACTTGATTAAGAGGCGAAAGACATAAATAAAAATAAATCACAACAAGAATCAAAAGAACAAACAAATTTATTCATCTAACCTCCGAATCCAATTAAGAAATTACAGTAGAACAACCTAGAGGCTTAACACTCCATGGAATGTTCAAATAACATGAAAATATAAGAAGAGAGGGTGGAGAACATGAGAGAAGAGAGGGTGAAGAACATGAGAGAAGAGAGGGTAGACGAAATATGAACCCCCCAAAGGGTTCCCACCTCCCTTAAAGTGTGTCCCTAGGTCTCTTTATATAAAAATTGGATTGGACTTTGTTTCAAGCTTTTCTGTTGTTGTAATCTTCTTTATGATAATTTAATTTCCTTCAAATATCTTCTAAATAATCCAATATCTTCAAAATATATTTGATTGTTGTGGAGATCTAAAAATATTTGAGAAGATATATGCTAGATTAAAAAATATTTGGTAAATATTATCTTTTTGATATTTATTGATATAGTTAAATAAGGTAATTATTTAACAATATCAAATAAAATATCTTAACATATGTTTTTCCCAAATTATCTTTAATCATAAACATTTATCAATTATCAAAGCCCTTTTGGTAGAAAAAATAGAGAAAAACGCAAGATCCAATTTTTGTTATGCCAAATTTCTTCACCTTTTCATGTTATGCTTGGATTGACTTCTTGTGGTCTTGATTATTTGTTATTCTTGGATTTATCTTTAAGGTGTCATGAAACTTTAACCAATTTATTTCCACACCTCAATGACTTCAACTTAGTTGCAGTTGCACTAACACACGTCAAAACATCCAAAAAAACATTTATGCAATTCATAAACTATTTTTAACATGTTTTTGTATCTCATGCTAATTATACCAAATTATAACAAATCATAATTAAAATATTTTATTAAAGTACAAAAACCAATTAAGAATCCAATATTAAAGGCTGAACTAGGGCATAAATATGCACTCATCACACTTGTAATAGAATCTTTTAATTCCTAATTCCTAATTCTATTCCCCTTTCACGTGTTTTATGTATCTTATCAATCCCTAATTTCTTTCCTATTCATGTGTTCCCTACATCGTCTCTTTTCTTAGTTCATCATTTTGTTCACCATTATTGCATTGACACCATGCAAGAACACCAACATTGTTGTCGTTGTGGTAGACAAAGAAGAGAGATCAATCGAAGAGATCAAGTTATTGTGAGTTCGTTGGAAGCATTTGTGAAGAGTCAGGTAATGAACGCCCTTTTTATTCTAGGGTGTTTGGGTCCGGTCAAGCACTAGGTTTCCACCGTCAATGATTTCACCCTCTTCAAAGAGAGCTTCATAAATCTGAACTTCTCTCCTCCACACGAAGAAGACAAACTCAGCGTATATTACCTGGGTAAAGTCTTCTATTTTTGTATATTATTTTAATTTTTTACGTAGTACGT